CCCCCCCCGCCCTTCGATTAAGCGTCCCCTCGAATAAGCGCCCCCGTCTTCTCCTAAACTTGAAATCAGCTCCTTGGGGGATAATTCGAGGATTTACGGTAAGTAAAAAAAGTATTTAATGTATATCAAAAGATTATCCGGAGTGTATTTAATAGTTGTAGATGGATGAACACCAAAATAGACTAAGGTACCCCAATCTGTGCTAGGGGGGTCTCTTTGCCGAACATGGAAAGTCCCGGCTAACTATGCATTTTGTCAGTTGCATTATTTATATACACTACTTTATAAGAAAAAGAAACTAAGTTAAACTGAGAAAAAAGGCTATACGCAACTTCATGTCTAATAATACATTTAAAGTTTAAAATACAGTATAGTAAAAAGGCTAAAAACTTAAGACTACAGCTAAGGTTTAAAACTAGAACTAATATGAATATCGCCCGTGCCATGCAGTAATCCAAGAACACAATTAAAACTTAATGTCAGCTAAAGAATAGTCGTAAACTGGTAACGTTTTCTAAAGTCAGTGCTTCCGAAACTTTTTAAGCAGCGCGTTTATTAATGCTAGATCGAGAAAGACTAATTCAGCTTTAGAAGCTTTGCTCTAGTTGCATGTTGTTTCTTTCAGCTAAAGAATAGTAAGCCGTAGTAATACTAAAATTAACTTTTTTTAAACCTTTTTTTAACTTAAGTATTTCCGATTTTTTTTTATAAGTACGTCAGTGTGTTTTGTAATGCTGGATTAAGAAAGAATAATTGCTTTATAGAAGCTACTTTTCTGGTTGCCTGTTGTCGTTTTTTTTTCAGTTAAAGAATAGTAAGCTATAGTAACAAATTAACTTTTTCAAAAGGTAGTGTTTCCAAATTTTTTTTATGTATTGTAATATGTTTTGTTCTTTTGAAGCCTTTTTCTTTTTTTTTTTCAGCTAAAGAATAGTAATAAAGTAAGCTTTTCAAAAGCTAGTGATTCGGAAATTTCTATAAGTAATATGTTTTGTAGTGCGAGATTAAAAAAATACACGTTTTAGAGCTTTTTTTATATATGCAATATCATGAACTTTATTTTTTTGCACTACTAGTGATTACATCTTTTTTCTCATATATTTGTTTCCAGCACTTTTTTGTCACTAATATTACTTACACATGATCTTCACTATTTATTTTACATTACAGTACCTACAATTATCTCGTACATTATTTAACCACTTCATTTTCATCACATTACTTACATTTCTCTGGTATCTAACGTAAGCTATTTCATGTACGGTGTTGTATTGTATTCTTGTAGTCGTGGGTGATGTAGCAGGTCTCGTAAGGTCTCACATGAATGGCTTGCTACCCTTTGAGAGAACAATAGAACAAAGAACAGAAACAATGCCCCTAGCCCTAAAACAATAACAGTTGCTAACAATGAAGAGAATTACAAGCTTACAAGAGCTGCTACACTTTTGATAGTCGTACGCAAATTAAACTACTTTTGGGAGAAGTATTTTTTCGTAACTAAGAACAAATGTTTCCTATCCTGCATTTAAATAGAACTTTATCAACAAAGACAGAAAGGTGAATAGTTTGGTTATGCATCTTACTAGTGTAGATGAAGTATTTCATAAATAGGATCGTGTAATTAAATTTCTTTATTAGTTCTTTTTCATATGGGCCAGATATGATACCGAATAGTTCCTCTTCAATTTTTGGCGAAAATTTTGACTTGTTGGTAGCGTTAAACCAGTCAATTACGTTGTTTACAAAAGTCTTTACAAATTGTAACTGTATGATCAGTTGAGTCTTTCCCACCTCAGTAGANATTTCTATAAGTAATATGTTTTGTAGTGCGAGATTAAAAAAATACACGTTTTAGAGCTTTTTTTATATATGCAATATCATGAACTTTATTTTTTTGCACTACTAGTGATTACATCTTTTTTCTCATATATTTGTTTCCAGCACTTTTTTGTCACTAATATTACTTACACATGATCTTCACTATTTATTTTGCATTACAGTACCTACAATTATCTCGTACATTATTTAACCAGTTTATTTTCATCACATTACTTACATTTCTCTGGTATCTAAGGTAAGCTATTTCATGTACGGTGTTGTATTGTATTCTTGTAGTCGTGGGTGATGTAGCAGGTCTCGTAAGTTCTCCGACATGAATGGCTTGCTACCCTTTGAGAGAGCAATAGAACAAACAACAGAAACAATGCCCCTAGCCCTAAAACAATAACAGCTGCTAACAATGAAGAGAATTACAAGCTTACAAGAGCTGCTACACTTCTGATAGTCGTACGCAAATTAAACTACTTTTGGGAGAAGTATTTTTTCGTAACTAAGAACAAATGTTTCCT